TTTTTGTGCAGCTCAGGTTTTAACTGTTGACCTTGTAAGCTCTTCCAGGTCTTGTGAGGTCTGATACACCTGGATTTTGTGGAAACTCTAGTCTGGGCCTAAGTCTTTCCGGCAAACTGCACTCTGCAGTTCTATATTCTTGACCAGTCTCCACTGAGTGATCCTGTGCTGATTGGAGGGCAGATCAGCTGTCCTTGCTGTGCCCCAGTGTTCCCCCAGTGGGCCCGTCTCCCACCACCTTCATTCTAAATAATTCCCATGGGATAGGCCATGTGCTGGTCCCTTGCGATGACTCACTGGCCTCTGAGTGGCTCCTTTTTTCAGTCATCTGTGGCCAGTTGCTCCAGTGTGGGTCTATGGGAACCCTATTAGTTGTCTTGCTGGCCTGGGGGCCACCAAGGCCCTTTTCTCCCCTGCAACCTCCAAGCAACTTCATATGAAGGGCACAGCTGCGCTTTTGCCATCTCTTCCTCCATGTGCTCACCAGGGCCAGCTGGAAGGTACCTGGGCTCGAAATGGTGGGAGCAACACTTTCTTTCTCTCATTGTGGCTTCTCCTTCCTTCATGAACTCCGTAGATCTTTCCTCCTCTTCCCCTGAGTTCCAGCAGCCCCAGCTTGGCTGTCATTGATTTTTAATAGTTATAAATTGGTTGATTTGTGGGAGAGAGTGATGCTGGGGACTGTTTATTCCTCCATCTTGACTGGAAGTCTCTCAGCTGCCTTTTATGAAATCAGAAGATGCCTCCAGGGAACAGCAGTTAAAAGTGTTGGTCTTACCTCTCTGAGTTTCCTTCTTCCAGATCTTGGCCCTATAATATTTCACTACTTTAATAATATTTTATATTATTTTATAACAATTCACTGCTCTCTTACATTAGTCCATTTCTGTTGCTTATAACAAAATACTTGAAACTCGGTGATTTATAAAGAAAATGAAATTTATTGCTTACTGTTTCTGAGGCTGGGAAGTCCAAAGTCCATGTGGTGGTGGAGACAGTGACTCAGGGGTCTCACATTGCAAGATGGTGGAAGCAGAGAGAGCAGGAAGAGTGAGAGAGAGAGACAAACCTGCTCATTCACTCTCCTTTTAAAGCCCTCCAAACCATGTCCTTGACCACCATTTTTAATCCATTCACTATTGCACTGTCCTACAATTTAATCACCTCTTCAAGGCCCCACCTTTCAATTACCATAATAGCATTTCTCACCCTCTTGACAGTCACAGTGCAGGCCAAGTTTCTAACACATAAAACTAGGGCGACACAATTCAAGCTTCAGTGAATTTGGGGGGGACATAATTCAATCCACTACATCTCTGATCCCTTTAACAACATGCTTGTATATTTCGTTCATTTCTATTCCAGTTATTTTCAGTGGGAGGGAAGTTTGGTTAGCATGTGTTAATCTGGTTGTCCATTACCAGAATTAGAATTCCTTAGATGATTATTTATTTCAACCATTAAGTGCATACTGCATAATGAAAGTATACAAGGGTACTTCAAAAAGTTTGTGGAAAATAGAATTAAAGATAATACAAATCTTTCCATGAACTTTTTGAAGTCACCTCATATTCTGTTTCTGGATCACAAACTCCCTGGAGTCAGTAACCATGCCTTATATGTGAAGAGGTCCCGCCTCTTCAGTGTCTAGGTTAACAGTGGGAACTCAGTAAAGACTGAATAATTGGTGACGACAGTTCATGTAGTTTTGTAGGTTTAGTAATTAATTTTTTCCATTCACCTTTGTTCTCAGGGTCTTTGTGCAATGATTGGTAGGCTGACCTGTTCTCATAAATAGTGCTGGGATGATGAGAGACAGAGACACAGAGATGCATGACACAGTGTCTGCTTTTGAGAAGCTTTTGGTTTGGTAATGAGCAAAGCCAGTGTAAGTCATGAAAATATAAATGGAAAGCCCATATGTCTTACTCTTAGGAGAGCCATGATTGAATAAACACATTTCACCAACCAAATACTATAATTTAATCAACCAAATAATATTAAGTCCTTTAATTATTTACTCAGTCTTTTAAGGAAATGCCAGGGTGAAGATGTGGTTGAGAGTAAGCGTATTTAGAATGCACATGAATATCTAAAAGTCCCTCTCTCTCCACTGCTGTCCTCTTAATGTCTTTGATTTTAACAGAGCCATTTGTATAACTATCCCCATCTCCTATTCTCTTTTCCAAACTCCCTGACCATCCCCAGACCACCCAGGCAGACTTTATTTCTTGCACCTGCTGGGCCATGCCACATAGCTTCCCTGCCAAATATGGTCAAGGGAACTTCCATGTTTCTCCACTGACTGCACTGGGCTGCTCTAGGGTGTCACACCCTATATTCATTAGCTGTCATATCAATCCCTAGAGAGATAAGTACTGAGGTATGCCTGGGAACTGTAGTTTTATTTTTCTCTTTCTTGGAGACTTTCTGGCCAGTAAAATATTGGCAAACATTAATGAGTTATGACTACAATCCAATGTGCCATGTGCTACAAGAGAGGATTATGAATCCAGCTCTATGGGAGGATAGATGAGGGGCTGTGAGGTCAGCTTGGAGGGTTAGTCTTACTGGGTCCAGCCATTCAGAATTTCTGGCAGTCAAGAGCTGGAACCAGCCCAAATGTCCATCATCTGATGAGTGGATAAGGAAACTGTGGTGTATCTACACAATGGAATACTACTGTGCTATGAAAAAGAACTAAATACTACCATTAGCAACAATATGGATGGACTTAGAGAAAATTATACTAAGTGAAACAACTCAGGCACAGAAAGAGAAATACCACATGTTTTCACTTATTTGTGGGAGCTAAAAACAAACAAACAAACAAACAAACAAACAAACAAACAAACAAACAAACAAACAAACAAACAAACAAACAAACAAACAAACAAACAAACAAACAAACAAACAAACAAACAAACAAACAAACAAACAAACAAACAAACAAACAAACAAACAAACAAACAAACAAACAAACAAACAAACAAACAAACAAACAAACAAACAAACAAACAAACAAACAAACAAACAAACAAACAAACAAACAAACAAACAAACAAACAAACAAACAAACAAACAAACAAACAAACAAACAAACAAACAAACAAACAAACAAACAAATAAAGGGTGGGTGGGAGAAAGAAGACAGAATAACCACAAAAATTCGTTGAACTATTTAAGTCAAGTGAACAGGGACAATGTGGGTGGGGGTGTGAAGGGGAGGGGATGGAGAGGAATGGGTAAAGGGGCATGAAAACCAACTATATTGTATTTTGAGAAGTAAAATAAAGAAAGAAAGAAAGAAAGAAAGAATTTCTGGCAGTCATCACTGGCCACTGGTAGTTGCCTCAGTGCCCCTGGGAGACAGTCACATTAGCTGTGGCATTTATAACATTGTGGTTAGGAATTCATCTTCTAAAACCAAACTGACTGGGTTTCAAGCTTGTCATTCCCATTGTGTAACTTGGGCCAGTTGCCAAGTTCTTTCTAACTCAATTTCATCACCTGTAAAGTGGGGTTATCCTCATAGGGTCATTGTGAAGTTAAATAGCTAAAGCATGTAAAGTGTTTGAAACCTGCCTGTCACATAGTAAATACTTAAGAGATTTTATCTTTTCCTATTGGTCTGTGGGCTCCTTCAGACTAGGGGCACAGAGCCTGGGGAGGAGGGGAGGCAGATAAGGGGAGTACACTTTAAGAATCTCTTAGGCTCTGGGCTCCTCGCACTTGCCCCCATCCTCTTGGCTGAAGGGATGTCACATCCAACTGCACACAGTGCTTAGGTCTGACACTCTTCCTGCCACTTTCAGTTTGGGTTCTCTTTCCTAGAATGCTCAGATTCTACTGACCCTATGGTTGGCCTCTCTGGAGAGCCCCTCTGGTTACGGCCCCACAACACTCAGACAAAGGCACACTCTGTTCAATGGAAGGTGCGGCTGTTCTCACATTCAGAATATCGTGTGATATGGACTTGGAAGAATGGTTCCCATCTGGACAATGAATCTTCGACTTTGGATTCTTTTGACAATAAATTCAATTTTACAATCAAGGACTTGGCTCTTTGCATCAAGGCAGCTCAGCAGCAGGACAGTGGCCTCTACTGCCTGGAAGTCACTGATATATCTGGGAAAGTTTGCAGAACCCAGTTCCAGGTTCTTATATTTGGTGAGTAACAAGGACCTCACTTGCCCCTCTGATTCCTGTAGGACGTATTTCCAGCACCTTTCTGATCAGAATCTCTGCTTCCAGATCCTGTTGAGAAACCCCACCTGCAGGTGCAGGTGAAGGTTCTGGACACAGGGAAGTGCCAAGTGGCTCTGAACTGCTCGGTCTCCAAGGATGGCAATGTGAGCTATGCTTGGTACAGAGGGAGTGAGCTGATCCAGACAGCAGGGAACCTCACCTCCTGGGAGGAGCAGATTGATGTTGATGGCTTGCACATATATACCTGCAATGTCAGCAACCCTGTCAGCTGGAAAAATGACACCCACAACCTCACCCAGAGCTGTCTAAGAGCCTACCAGGGTAAGTGGGGGACTCTGGGCTATAACAGAGGCTGAAGGTGTCGTACCCTGCAACCAGGCTCACATGCAAAAGAAACCCGTGTATGAGATCTCCTGGCTTCCTCCCTCAGTACCTTGTAGCCAGGGGCATCCTGGCTTCTAGGTACACAGTTCCTATAAAGCCAGGCCTGTCCTAGTCTTGGAAGAATTTTATCCCCATCTTCTTCTGTGAGATTTCCCTTCACATAGGGAATGCATAGTTCTTCAGTGAGTCACAGTCCAGCAATAATAGCTCCCGACAATATTTTTCTTCTTCTGAGAGACTGAAGGAGACCTGCTTCCTCCTCCCAAATGATAAGTTTCCCCAAGTCAGATAGCTCTCCAGGAGGTAACTTCAGTGTACAACAGTACCCTGGCTCAGTGGGATCACAGGGGTGCCCAGAAGAGTTCCTGTTTATTGCTTATGCTCATCTGAGAGTTACCTGAGTTAAGTTTGCATCCCTTTTTATTAGACAAAGACTTAATGTGCCATTGGCATGGGCATTATAGGGAAAATGAACAAACATGTAGCTCCTGTCCTTAGGAACTTACAGCCAAATTGGGGCAACAAAAGTAAATATTTGTGGGTGAAAGAGAAACAAACAAAACTGAGGCAATGTGAAGTGACAGACACTGGCTGTTGGGTCATGTCAACCATGGTTTCATCATTCACTGGCTCTGTGATTTCAGGAAGATTTGTTAACCTCTGTGAGCCTCAATTTTTCTCTTGGGTCAAGTGGGGGTGATAATAATAAGTACCTCATTGGGTTGCTGTAAAGATTAAATGAGAAAATGTTTGTAAAAAGCCTAGTCAGGCAGCACCTGGAACACTTATTTCCTTTCTCTTCTTTTGTTGGCCGGATTATATGTCAGGCTACAGGTGTGACACAAATGTAAAGTGTGGAAGTTCAAATGAGGAAGAACAGTGAGGCAGGACTAGCAGGAAGGTGAACTGGAAGACTTGCCTGGCACATAGTAGGTGCACAATGAATATTTGTAGAGTTAAAAACAAATGAACGGATGTATGTAGCATTTGCTGTGTTAGATTCTTTATGTATATTAGATCACGTGATTAACTCCTGGAGGTAGGTAACTTTATCCCCTTTTAACAGGTGAGAAAACCAAGGCTCAGAGAGGTTAATCAAGTAGCACAGAGCTTGTAGGATTAGAATTTGGATGAGGTCTGTCGGGTCAACATCCATGCTGTTGGCATTATTTAGGAGAAATCACCCAATTGAACAGAGAGACAGCCTTGGTGGTGAATTCACAGGGTGTGAGGAGGCCAGCCACACCTGAGAGGAGAGTAGGTTTTGAGACAGCCCCTGCAGCAGACAGGTGGGAAGGAAGGAGAGGAAAGGGCTGGGAGCTCATGCTTTCTCTATCCCTCAGAATTCAGATTTTGGCCTTTTTTGGTGACCTTCATGATTCTAATCACACTGTTTCTTGGCACCCTCACCTGCTTCTGTGTGTGGAAGAGGAAGAAGCAGCAGTCACGTAAGTGGAAGCTCCTTGAGGATTGCTGCTGCCTGAGGCATCGGCTCCGGTGACTGGGCCCTGTGCCCCGTGGGATGTGCCTGGGCACACAGCACCTCCTTTTCCTCAGGGAGTGTGGGGATGTGTGTATGTGTGATTGGGGGAGGGCCAGCAGTGGCTGCAAGGCCTTTCTCCCAGTTCACGCCTTTTGTGTTGGCTGCCAAATATTTATGGTCTGAACCCCAAGATGCAGATTTATCTGCAGGTGGCTGGTTTAATGGGGGTACTTCCCAGCTTGATGGAGGAGGTATGTCAGGGGTGGCTGCTGCCTCTGTGCTCTTTGGGTATCCTGGGAAGAGCACTAACCTGCCTCCTTTCTAGAATTTTTCATAAGGTCGTGGCCATCTGGGGTAGGGGATGGACCTGTCAGAAGCAGAAGCCTGGACAGGAGGCCCTCTGGAGGTTTCTGCAGCTCTGTTCTTTGCTTCCTTCTTCCTGCAGAGGCCAGCCCCAGAGAATTTCTGACAATTTATGAAGATGTCAAGGACCTGCAAACCCAGAGAAATCAAGTATGGCATTTTAGGGGCTGGGACTGGGACATCTCTCAACAGGACTGGAAGATGCTCTTTTGAGAATGGCCATTCAGAGTAGGGGAACAGAGAATACTAGACAATTGTTCTTTCAAAGTGATTCACAGCCCCTCCCCACACCCCCCACACACACACACACACACACACACACACACACACACACACACACACACACTCACACACATCTGTCTTTTCTCCATCAGCCTCCTAGCTCTTGCCATGGAGGAAAAGAAGAAGACAAAGGGAGCAGGGAAGATGAGAGGGAGGCAGAAGGGGCATCTTGGTGCAGAACTGCCCCTGCCGAGAAGGGCTGGAGCATAGCAGAAATCAACAGCAGGGGGCAGAATGCTGCCGCTGCCTCCTCATGCCGCACCCTCATGTCCCCATTTCCGCCTAGTCTCAACAGCTGGGCTGAGTGCCAGGAGGATTGCAGTCGTCTTGTATTTATTGTGTCTGACCACACATTCTTGTTTCCCTAGCAAGTCAGAGCTTACTTTTGTGGGTCCCTTAATTGTTACTCAGGCCAGGGAGTGTGACCAGCCAAAACATAATGGTTTTGTAGCTCATTCAGTGGTCTGTGTTCACAACCTTTTGGGAAGAAGCTGGCTGAGGTGCTAGAGAGAGTAACCAGCTTGGCACAAAACCAATAAGACAGAGCGGATCCTCCTGGAACCTCTTTTGCCACTCTGTGTAGGCAGCGGCTAATTCTGCCTGTCATCACAGATGTAGAAGAGGAGGAACTGCAGAGGGGTTGCAGATGCCCCTGCTGTGGTGCCCTGGGCAGGGCAAGATGTGTCCCTAGGGCAAGCCTAGGGGAGAGGTTCTGATCGGTCAGGCAGTGCCTACTGAACTGCCTGGGGGCAGGGTGGTGGAGGTGGGGAGGAGGTGCCCTCTTCCCACAGCCATTCCTGGTGCTTGGCCGGAGGAGGTGCAGCACCGTGCAGGAAGCACGCGTGGAGGGCCCCTTCCCCCCTGGTCACATGGGTGAGGCCCTGTGAGGCCTCACAGAACAGATAAGCACCTTCCCTCAGGTCTGGGCTCTACGGGAATTAGGGCAGCTCCCCTCACCTGTTTCCTTGCCCCAGCAGTGAAATATTGGGGTGTGAAAAATAAAAGGAGACTGTGCTACCAGGCTCTGGTACAAATTCCTGAGAGCACATGTGTCTACCTACAGACACTGATGACCAGGTGGTTGCTAAAAACAGCCTTTTTACCAAAATGAGAATGACTTTAGATTAGGAGACCATAGGGGGAAATCATAATTTAGAGCAAAATAAACCTCTTGGGGTTTCAGGTCTGTTACCTGCTTCTGACTCTGGAGTTCCTCCCCGCCTGGCCTCAGTCCTCCCCAGCCTCTTTCCCATTTCCAGGTTCTGGTTTGAAGGCCTAAATCTTGAGTTTCATGTGGCCTTGCTTTGGGGTGAGCTCCAACCTTTCTGGAGGTACTTCACATGGGTCTGGATGGGAGAGAAAAGCAAGAAACTCCTGTTTCTTGACAGATGCCCCTGACTCACCAGCCTCTGAGAACAGCTAACATTTCTCTGCTCCTCTTGGCTTCTTCTTGCTTCCTGGGAGTTCAGCTTCCACCTTGTCTAATGAACCCTGCTGGCCACCGCTGGCTCCCCACCAGAGCCCAAACTGGCAATCTGTGCTTAAGGTTGAGCAGCATGAAATACCTCCACCCCCAATCTCCTGTGGGGCAGGAATGAGAGGAGGGAAACTGGAGGGGCCTTGTGCCTTTGGCCTTGGGTCTAGGGCTCCACCCTGCATTGCAACTGCCCAGGGGACTGGCTTGAGGCTAAGGGCAAGCTGGCCACAAAGGCTGGATCTAGAGAGGGGACTTAAATGTGGTCAGCCTTTAAAATATTAAACCTTCTGAATCTCAGTGCTTTGAGGTAAGGCTGTATCACAGCCCTACACAGAGTTCTGCTCAATTCAGTGGTTATGCAGCAAATTCAGTAGAGAAGTCAGCAAAGGCAAGGAAGGGTTTCTAAGTTACCAAAGTGAAGGAACTGACAGGAGCCCCCTTGGGCAAGGTTGCTCAAATTCCTTTCCACCTGGGTGTTTCCCTCCCCCTCCCCAACTAGCTGTTCCGCTGTGAATTGAACTGATCTTCTTCCTGTCTCTCCCCATCCTGGGGTGACCAATGATGAGGCTCTCCCCAATTCTGCCACCTTCCTCCCAGGCTCCCGGGAGCTCCTCTTCTCTGTGCTGTCCTTCCCTACTCAGTCCAAATCTGGACAGACCCGGCCGTCTGTTCATGTTACCACATGTGCCTTTATTATTTCTTGTTCAGGAGCAGCAGCAGGAGCAGCAGCAGGAGCAGAATTCCCCTGGAGAAGGGAGCACCATCTACTCCATGATACAGTCCCAGGTACCACTCTGGTTTCTCTAATCCATTCCATACCTGAATATGGGGCTTCTTAGTGTCCTCTGTCACCCCCAAAAGTAACAACCTTGAATGGCGGAATAAGCTCTTCATGCTCCTAGGGTCCAGAAGACAGCTTGGCCTCAGCTGCATTAACAAGTTATTTGAAAAGATCATTGTGGTTCTGGAGCATCTTAGCAGAGCTGGAAAGCCCAGTAGAGTCATTTCTTCTCCTTCCATGCCTGGCAGAAGGTCTCGCCCAGATAAAGTTCAGAGGAGGAGGGACCTGTTAGGGGATTCAACTTCTGTTTTCTCTCCCTGCAGCTCTATTTCATGGGGCTCTTGTACTTTTTATCTCCATCCCCTATTATACCTATTTGAGGAAAGAATAGATCTGTATTGGTCCTTTTTGTCCTAGAGTGACTTAATGATAATGTCCATTTTCTTAATAAATCTCACCTAACAGACTTATGAAGTAGGTCTAATACTTTAGATGTGATCCTATCACGATGAAGAAAATGAGACTCAGGTTGACTAAGTGGTCAAGGCCACATAGCTGGGCAATGGCAAAGCTGAGCCAAATTGTTTCCAAGTCCCCATTCCCCTCCCCCTCCCCTGCCTCTAACTTTGTGGGATTATAGAAATTCACCCATGAACTAGAAAAGCATCCCCTCCTTTTTTTATTGAATCATAATTGATTGTACCTATTTTTGGAATTTTACATTTACATATGTTGATCAAATCAATATTATTAGCATATATATTATTACAAATCATACTTATTCTTTATGCCCTTTGTTGAATTTCTCCCCATCCGTCCTTTCTGCCCCCTCCCACCTCTGATAACCCTAGATTTCTTCTCTCCTTCTGAAAGAGTAACAGCTACTCTGTTGATTTGTTGCCTAGATATCTGTCCAGTGCTGAGAGGTGTGTTCAGGTCCCCCAATATTATAGTAGAGCAGATTCTTTTTCTATCATTCTGGAACAGGCTTTGTGGAGAGAGACATCCTCTTCTTTAGAAAAGCATTCTCTATTATTGACAGCTAAGATGACATTATTGACAACTCAGGCTGGGACATCTCTCCCAAGGAAAACATTGCCTCCTGATGGCCAATGATGAAAAAATTCTGATAAAAATGGCTTTTTGAAAAAGAGAATGAAGACCTGAAGCAGAAACATTCTCAGCCTGGTGGCTAAGGATAGGGCAAAGAAAATCTGATTGTAAGAGTGGTTGATATCTTCCAGTTCTCTGGCTTTAGCCACATTGAAGTCCAATAAGAGGAATTTGAATAAGTGCAAGGAAGAGCTCCTCTCAGACTAGGGTATTGAGTGAGAATGAGATTCCTCCTCTGGAGCATCTTAAAGGAGGGTGGTTATGCCTTAGAGGACACCTGGTTCAGGGGTGGAGAAGGAAAGCACATTGCCAAAGGGAGGCATCAGGGCTGAGGAAAGAGCCCTGCAGAGTCTTGGGTTTGAATCCCACTTCTACTGTGTACATACTGTCTGACTTGATTATTGACAACTCAGGCTGGGACATCTCTCCCAAGGAAAACATTGCCTCCTGATGGCCAATGGTGAAAAAATTCTGATAAAAATGGCTTTTTGAAAAAGAGAATGAAGACCTGAAGCAGAAACATTCTCAGCCTGGTGGCTAAGGATAGGGCAAAGAAAATCTGATTGTAAGAGTGGTTGATATCTTCCAGTTCTCTGGCTTTAGCCACATTGAAGTCCAATAAGAGGAATTTGAATAAGTGCAAGGAAGAGCTCCTCTCAGACTAGGGTATTGAGTGAGAATGAGATTCCTCCTCTGGAGCATCTTAAAGGAGGGTGGTTATTGCCTTAGAGGACACCTGGTTCAGGGGTGGAGAAGGAAAGCACATTGCCAAAGGGAGGCATCGGGGCTGAGGAAAGAGCCCTGCAGAGTCTTGGGTTTGAATCCCACTTCTACTGTGTACATACTGTCTGACTTGAGCTGTTTACCCTCCTGGAGCCTCATCTGTAGCACAGGGCAAATTATGATCATTCCCACCTTGTAGGAGTGTAATAAGGGTTAGGGGAGAATACATGGGTGAAATAATGCTCAACAGATAGTAGCTGTCATTGACAGAGTGGGACTGGACTCAGTTGTCTGTTTTCCTGGTTAGTCTAGGGTTCTTTTCATTAACACTTAAGGCTTCCATTTGGGCAGGGCTGAGGCAGAGAGATGGAGAGATGACCTCCCTAGGGTTGTGCTGGATCTATGCTTCTGAAGTGGTTTTATTTCTCTTCTCATTAGTCTTCTGCTTCCACATCACGAGAAACTGCAATGACATTGTATTCGTACATACAGCCTTCTCGAAAGGTGAGTATCTTCCTCCCAGGGGTGCTTTTGATGCAGATGTGTATTTTGCATTGCATGTGCAGGCTTATGTTTACAGAGAGTGTGTGTGCACGTCCGACTAGTTGTCCTCCATTGTGTGTATCTGTTTAAATGACTGTATTTAAATATTAATGGCCCCATGAGGAAAACCTTTCTGCTTCCGCCCAGAGAAAAAGAACAGTTCTGATACTCAGAGAACAATGTATTAGAGGGGTTTCCAGGAGTTTCTGCGGGAAGCAAAGGGCAGTCAAAGATAGAAAGGAGGTGGCCTGTGCAGAGGGACCACAGGGTCCTTAAAAGGCCAGTTGAGGCTATGACAGGAGATACTGGAGAGGGTTCCAAGGCAGGAGCATATTGCCTGGAGCTGGAGGACCTACAAAGACACAATGTTGACTTTCAGGGACGGGACAAGACAAAAGTTCTGGCCAGTCACCTGCTGGTGGAGGCCTCCAGACTCTGCGTCCACTCAAATTCTACTCCACGCTGAGCTTATAGCTCTCCTGTGTACCTAGAACCACAGAGGTGGCTACCCTGGTGCCCATGGTCCTTTTTACCTTGTGTGGGGGGGGATGGGAAGAGTGGGATTCGCAAGACTGCAGCAATAGTGTGAGGCCATAAGCCTTAACGTGGTAGGTAGAAGTCGGGAATCCACAAAACTGTGGAAGTCCATGTAGGTCAGAGACCATGTGTTTGAAGGGAATTTTGCAGACTTTCAAACTTTTCATTCAACTTTCCGATAAGTCATTCAACCAACTTGGATTCCACTATGAGAGATATTTATTTTTAATTATATGCTACAATATGAGGACATAATAGATGTTCACAGGTACCACGTTCACATGCTTTGATATTATGTTATGAAAACTGTACATAGTACTAGTGCTTCTTAATTCCAATGATTAACAAAAGCACTGTGTTTAGGGTATATGCTAAGTTTGGCACTTATATATGTGCTAGAATTGTTTACATTAGGGATGTGTGTATGCTATGTGTTGAAGAGATACATGGTTTGGGGTAGTATTTGTATTAGGATTGCCTGAGGGATATGTGTGTATGTGTAAGGGTGTGTGTGTGCACTAGGAATGTAGGTATGTGTGGATTTTAGGGGTATGCGGGTAAGTGATACTAAATTCTGACTTTGGTTCAGAAATGTCATATCATAGGCAAGTATGTACTGTGCCTTCCCTGGAGACCATAAACACCACTGTATACTCCTGGCATAGGAGATATTATTCACTTTCTGGCTGGGGATACATCAGGGGCATTTTGGGCCCCGAGTATCTTTTGGGACCTCTTACATTAGTTAGGAGTGGAACATCTCTTATCTTGAAGTTAAGCATTCTTTACCCTCTGAATTTCTAGTCTATACACAAGAAGAAGAACCCCAGCCCTGCCTTCAAGAGCACTGTCTATGAAGAGGTAAGATGCTCAAATTCCTTCTGAGTGGATTTAGTGTCTGTAGCACAGCCCTGAAGTCCAGCCATGGAAGGGTATACTTATGAAAAGGTCCTCTGCACAGTCTCAGAGTCGTAGAGATTTTAGGAATTCTGTAATCCAAATCTTCATTTTAGAGATGAATACACTAAGGCCCAAGGAACATGAGTGTCTAACCCAAGATCTACCATATGTTCAAGTTTGACTTTTATTAACCAGCTTGAGTTCTAAATGAGGTCTGTCCTTGAGCTAGTTCCCAGGCTATGGGCCATAAATTGGACATCTCTCCTTTCTAAGGGTGTGTGTGTGTGTGTGTGTGTGTCGGGGTAGGGGTCAGACAGGTAGTCACTCTAAACGATTTTCTAAAATGGGCAGTCATTGGAAACCATTCTAAAGACATGAGTGGCCTTAAGCTTCTGCTGCAGAAGACACTGTTCAAAAGTGACCACTGAGCCTGGTGGCTGAATTGATTCCCACCAGGCCATTTAGGGAGTGTAAGGAGGGACCAAATATTTATTGGGGTCTTACTGTGTATAAGGAAGCCTGCCAGTGTTTGCAAATGAATTATCTCATTTAATCCTCATGGAATGCTGTAAGGTAAGTATGCAAATGAATTATCTCATTTAATCCTCATGGAATGCTGTAAGGTAAGTATGATTATACTCCCCATTTATACCCAGAGAAATTAAATCATGGAGAGTACCCCCATTAGCCTCATACTACACCTGAGCCTCTACCTGTGGTCTGATAAAGATGTTGCCACTGGTCACAAGGCAGAGGGAGGGTGTGTGCCCACTGGGATTCCTGGCACTTCAGCTGTAGCCTAACATTAAAGCCAACTGGACAGTCTAGGGTTGTAGAGGACACAGTGTGGGCCAAGGCAGTGTGGGGGTCATGAAGAAGCATGTGTGGTTAAAAGAGCACTGGAATTGAAATCAGAAGAACTGGGCCAAGTCCCTCCTTTTGTGCTGGTCATTGACCCTGAGTATTACCACTCCAAGCTTCAATTTCTTAATCTGTAAAATGCAGATAATTCATAACCCACAAGATTATTACAAGGATCTCCTAGTGGGAGGGTCTGAAGTTTCTCCTCTTCTTCTGCAGGTTGGCAAGAGACAACCCAAAGCCCAGAACCCTGCTCGACTGAGCCGCAAAGAGCTGGAGAGTTTTTATGTGCATCCCTAGCTGCTGCAGCCATTCTTGCCTCTCTTAGCTTCAGCCTCTGCTTTGGGAATCGGCACAGTGGATGGTGCTACTTAGAACAGTTCCTAGTCTGGAGAGGATACAGAAGTTCGCTCAAGGTCTATATTTAATTTTGAAAATGATTTCTAACAGCCATTATAAGAGCAAGGCTATTAAATAGTATCTCCCAACTTACAGACAAGACAAAAATGGATGGAGAGGCTGGGTCATACACAAAAGACCACATTCCAAGTATTTGCAATCTATAAAATGACAGGTACATTGTGGTTTTTTGTCGTTGTTGCTGGTGGCTGTGCTCATGGGGACAGGGACCCAAACCCATGACCTTGGTGTTATAAGGCTGTGCTCTAACCAGCTGAGCTAACCGGCCAGCCCTATAAAGTGATATGTAAATGCAGGGTGGTGTTGTTATTAACAGCAAGATTCCCATCCCTGGTTTTCTTGTCTCTTACTTGTTGCCCCTTCTCCTTGATCTGGGATGACTGCATTTCTAGACCATCATTTTGCTCAGGCCCATCTTCCAAAGCCAGAGGAAGAGAAGATAATGGTCACTCAGAGGAAGAGGGAACACTCCTTCTCTGTGAGGCTGGACTAACTGGCTGTAAGCTGGCTGCTGTGTTCTCCACAGCGTCCAGGGCCTGGGCTTTACTCAAACACAGAGGAAAAACTTTCCCCCCACATTTCACTCCTTTACCTCTGGACAGTTGGTCTCCAGGACACTGGGCAGAAGCAAGAGTAGACATGGTGCAAAGCAAGCCTATCTCTGAGTAGAAAAATCACCCAGAGCACACACCATCCTGACAACTGGCTGGTGAGTCCAGCTTTGTCTACAGTATGATGTTTGATTTACAAAGACACATTAAAAATATATTTTGGCTTCTTCATAGAAGAAGAGCCTTCTTAGAACCATATTTTTTTATTTTTATTTTTTTAAATCTTTTGGCTGGCCAGTGTAGCGATCAAATTCTGGACCTTGGTGTTATCATCGCCATGCTGTAACCAACTGAACTAACCGGCCAGCCCCTCAAAAACCATATCGTATTTAAGTTCTGAGTCCTGATGAGTGCTCCCCATGGTATACTCATCAGGAGGGAGGGCTCTGACAACTGAGTGCTGAAGATAAGGCAATTGGGAACTAGACATTAGGCTATGTTCCCTGAGCCTTCAGCCCAGATCCTTCATCAAAGCTGTCGGGAGCAGGGCTGAGACTCTGGCTGAGCCCAGGAAAGGGACGAGGGTGAACTGAGAGAGGACTCAATCAGAGACCCTATAAGGTGATACTGCAGGAAGCCTGGTTCTTCAGTTGCCCCACCCTGTATTTAACATATGAATTGAATATAAAATTGTGGTGTTATACAGGGGCAGTCTAAATCCCTTACCTTGAGAGTAGAACATTGGTTACCAGAAACTGGGGAGGGAAGGGGGGAAGAGAAAACAGGGAGAGGTTGACTAACGGGTACAAAATTACAATTAGATAGGAGAATAATTTCTGATGTTCTAATACACAGTAGGGTGACTATGGATTACAGTTAAATTTCATATATTACATAATAGCTAGAGGAGAGGCTTTTGAATGTTTTTGTCACAAAGAAGTGATAAATAAATGAAGTCGCTGATACATTAAATACTCTGACCTGATCATTATACAACGTATATGTGTATCAAAACATTGGATTTACCCCATGAGTATGTACAATTAGAATGTATCAGCTAAAACAAATAAACCTCTTGCCTGAATTAAATTCATGTATCTTTTCCATACTCTGCATCTTTACTCTCTATAGCAGCCAAAGGGCACTTGTGGGCCATCCACAAATACATGTCTGTTTAAATTTTGCTGGAGAGGGCTTCCCAGTGAGCTGTCAGTGTCCCTGAGCCTGTTCACAATGGGACAGCAGGCAACCAGATACCAGGGCCCATTCAGTCTCATGAAGGCTAGCCAAAGGCTAGCAAAGTAATGCCCTGCCTGGTCCCTCTACCCTGCAGACTGTGTGGTTTGCCAGGCTGGCTTCCTGCTTGAGAGAACTGTGGATACATCACATTTTAAAGCAAGTGTCAGGGGTAAAAACCAGGTAAATATATTCAAGAGCAGTCTGGGGGACTGAGGCAGGTATTGGGGCTGAGTTGCAGAATCAAGGAGTTTGGTGAGCAGAGACAACAGGAAATGATGGTCAGAAACGGTCCAGATGAGCAGCAGAGACATTGACCGTTGACTGCTGCTGGCCTTGCACGTGTCTTGCATTGTGTAGATCTTGAACCGGCCAGATTTATTTAAGGAGCAGAAGTGGTCTATGGACCCAGGGTTTTTGGGGATGCTCTGTTTTGGAGTGTAATACGAGTATGTACAGCATCATCATATTGTGTGTCTGATTGTTGAGCTTCCATGATAATGCCTCACAAAGATAATTATCCATGCAATCTAGTCAATGAACAAGCAGTAATTAAGCTCCTGCTGTGTATGAAGCACTGCCTGACTCCCTGGTAGTACTCTGCAGGCCACAGAAGCCATATTGACTACAAGGCCCATGTGTAGGAAGGCACGATAATAAAAGCACAACGTTGAAGGACATAAATGGGCTGCAAGGTGCGTGTAACACAGTGTACAGTAGAAGATCAGAATATAATCAAGTATGGTGCATCTCACAGGCAGGGGGACAGGGATGCAGTTACACTTTGGCAGGGGGTGGGGGAGGAGGATACTGTGGCTCTTCTGTATCTAGACTGGACAATGAGGAAGGAAGTTATTTTGGGTAAATATGGAAAGCTTATATAAAAGAGGCATTTTAAGCCTTTTAAAAACTATCAAAAGAGTAATAGACACAGTTTTGAAAAATTCAGCAGTACAAAAATGTATGCAGTAAAAAATGTCTCCTTTTGTACTTGAGATTCCCAGTTCCACCCTGGAGGCAGCCACTAATAAATTTTTTTGTATTTCCTTTTGGAACTTTTATATGGCTAGATAAGCACACAGACATACATTCTTTCTAACCCGACTGGTGGCATACAATACACTATTCTGAACTTTGTTCTTTCCACTCAACAATGCATCTTAGAGCTCATTCCCATATTAGCATCCATTACTCTTCATTTTGCTTTCTTTGCAAGGGGTAGGATTTGCCATTGGATGGATAGACTATCACATATTTAACTGGATTCTCACTAAATGGACATTTAGGTTATATGTCACCTTTTATTTTAAATAATACTGCAGTGGGCATTATTTTACACAGATCTCTGTGTCCACGTGTAAGAATATCTGTTGGATTCATTTCAGCAGCTGTTTAGAAGATGGTGTGAAGGATGGTCAGTCCAGGTGCCCTCCAACAACACTTGAGCAGCCTTGGCAGAATTTTGAGGCAGCACATATGAGTGAGAGGAAGAAACAATATGGTTGTGCAAGGAGATAGACAAATAGAGCAAAGATATCCGAAGCCAATAGGCTCCAAGAAGAGCCTGTGTCTGAACTATTATCGGGCTTGGGAGGATATGGGGGTGAAAAAGGGGGGAGGGGTCAAATCCAGGCAACTCTGAGACCCTGAAGGAAATTCTGACATGCTTCTGTCTGCAGGAGGCCCTACGAGGTCCAGCTGCCTCTCCAATCCCAGGGGCCCAGGAGAGAGATTGCAGCTTCTTTTCAAGTGAAATATTCATAGGTAGGGATTTCAGCAAACTCAAGATCATTCTGTTGTGGTGGTGGCGCCACCTGTGAGCCAGAAGAACACACAAGAATATGATTAAGGAAGCCTTGAAAGACTCAGGTTTCTTCAGCTCTGTGCTGGTGAGAGAGAGGAAGGCGGGGCCAGGCTATGACTGGTCCACCCTATAGAAACAGGGTCATGTGGATTGGCTTAGCAATTGAGCAGTTGACCAAGCTGATGGCAAGCATTTATGGAGTCACCTAACGGTAAAGGCCGTTGGGCAATACCAGACAGTTCAGTGAATCAAATACAGGGGACACAAAAGTGACAATCAAGTCTTGCCCCTAAGAAGCTACTGTTGAATGATCCCAATCTCTGCCCTAGCTGGAGAAACAAGACAAATACTTATATACAGATAATTCGGATGGTGGTGGTTGAGTTACAAAGTAATGGTCCAGACCATTAGACCTTCATGGTCCAAGGGTTCTTAGGATTCCTTGTCTGAGAGTATTCAGAGAAGGTTCTAAAGAGCAGATGAGACCAGAGCTGATACACAGAAGAGAGAAAGATTAGGTACCAGCAACAGCTTGAGAATAGCAACAGCTTTGAGATACTGTGCAGAGATGTGCGTCAGAAAATAACAACTAAAGTAGGGTTGAGAATTTCCTGATCAAGTGGGCAATAATGGCCTTAAGAGACCCTGGACCAGAATTCCTGGTTCTGAAAATTCTAAAAATAAGGGATAAATTCTGTCAAGAGCTTGGCTGAGGAAATGCATTGATTTCCACTTACAGCATAGGCGAGGGTGGTTTTAGGGCTCTTAAGTCCCCAGGGTAGTGTGGGTGCCTTGCAAGACTGACCAGACATGTTGTGGTCATTCTGAAACTCAGAGCAGGGACTGATATCCATGACTTTGAGTTTGACCAGTGCTCACCCAAACACAAAGGGCTAGGCTGGAGTAGAAAGCAGCTCTGGAAAGGCAGTGAACAGTACAGATTTGGCCTCAAGTCCAAAGGTGAAGTCCCACCCAGCTATCCCACTGCTGGGAATATACCCAGAGGAATGGAAATCATCAAGTTGAAGGTATACCTGTTCCCCAATGTTCATCGCAGCACTCCTTACAATAGCCAAGAGTTGGAACCAGCCCGAATGTCCATCATCGGATGAGCGGATACGGAAAATGTGGTATATCTACACAATGGAATACTACTCTGCTATAAAAAAGAATGAAATACTGCCATTTGCAACAACATGGATGGACCTTGAGAGAATTATATTAAGTGAAACAAGTCAGGCACAGAAAGAGAAATACCACATGTTCTCACTTATTGGTGGGAGCTAAAAATAAATTCACACACACACACACACACAAAAAAAAAACTGGGGAGGGGGGAGAAGACATAACAACTACAATTCCTTGAAGTTGATATGACAAGCAAACAGAAAGAACATTGTTGGGTGGGAGTGGGGAGAGGGAGGAGGGAGGGGGGTTTTGGTAATGAGCCACAATAATCAACCACATTGTATATTGACAAAATAAAATTAAAAAAATAAATAAATAAAAAGTAAAAAAACCCAAAAAACAAAGGTGAAGTCCCTAGCTGGCAAAAACATTAGACCACAATCTAGAAGTCAGGACCAGGCAGATGATGGTCGAACTGAACAGCATATGTGAACAAGTGATTATTGAACAAATTCTATCCATCTTTTAAGGTCCAACTCAGATTGCTTTTTCATGAAGTCTTTCCTCTCTGCAGTGAATTCTCTCACTTATATCTGAAAAATCCTTGGGAACCGCATACATAATATATTAAGAAGTCATGTATTGTTTTCTCTCCCTTTCCAGGTCACTGAATCAACTCACCTCTCATCCACCAAGATAGATAACAAATTCTCACCGTCAGAGACAGTGCCTTAAACATATCTGAATCACCAAAGCACCTACTATAGTTTGGGGCAAACAAAAGATGTTCAATAAATATCTATTCATTGATTCATCAATCCCAGAGAAGTAGCAAAATTGAAAAACATTGAGAATTAAAAAAAGATATTTTTTGAATGCGTTACAGGGAGAGAATTTGGGGGAGATTTGGAAACCAAAGTATGAATGGACCCAATGTTTTTGGGAAAGTAAAAATGGAGTGCACAGTCTGATTCACATCAAGGTTAATTGTTTAGGATTATTGGGGATTATTTTAAAACTCCTTGTGGTTCTTAACACTGGAACTTCCAACTATCTATGTGAACTTAGGCGAGATTCCCAATCTCAGCTTCTTCAGCTATAAAATGTGGATGTCAACACATTTCTAGAGGTGTTACCAGGCTCAGAGGGGAATATGTTTGTCGATGTTTTGTCAAGGTAAAACTTTATATAAAAATTAGTTATTCTTATTATTTAATGGTAAATTCTACCCTTAAGAGATCTTCTAACACTGTAATAAAACCAACGTATTGCAGTTAAGAGCATATTTCAAAAATTCTTTATTTTCACTTTTTTTTGGCGTAAGGACACTTTAGAGAAAACAGAAAATCGAAGGAACCAAGGTTTACAAACAGGAATGCAGCCTCATAGCAAAACGATAAAACAGAACCAAGGGGCGGGGCGCATGTCGGAGGACAGAAATGCGCGTAGCGAGAGCAAGCGAAGGGGAGGAGGATTTTTTCTTCCCATTTCTTAAAACAAAAAACCCGAACCCCAACACAACCAACACAAGAAAGCACACAACCAACGTTTGTTCCCGAGTAGAAACAAAAATAGGGCAGAATGGAAATACTGTTCTCTTCCAAAGGCAAAAAAAAAAAAAAATGAAAGAAAAGTTAACGCAGGGCTCGAGGCTGCATCCCATCGGAGCCCCCTTCCGCGGAGATGCGTGCAAAGCGGCGGCGGCGCGCGGGGGACAGAGGCAGAGTGAGGTCATTCGCTCGCCTTCCCAGGGGCAGGGGGTCCAGCTTGCCGAGTCCGGGGCGCCCTCTGAGTCCCGGGTATCCTCGGGGGACGTCCCCACCCTCTCCGAGTCCGTGCCCTCCACCTCTGCTTCCCCCGGCGAGCCCGCCCCTCGGGCAGGGGACCGCGCATGCGCCCCGCGCACAGGCTGGGTGCGGCCGCCGCTGGTGCTAAGCGGGCAGCCGCAGTAAACGTGGCCGCGGACCTTCCGTTTGCGCTGCGCCACCTGTTTGCGCAGCAGGCGCACCGTGGACTCCAGCTCGGTGTTTTGGCTCTTGAGCGTCTTCACTTTCTCCCCTGAGCGCAGGATGCAGTCCAGCTTGCGCTTGCGACGCTTGCAGGCGGCGATGCAGTTACGCAGCCGCTCGCACTCCCTGCGTGTCTGGGTCGACGGGTCACGACGGCGGGCTGTCGCCGAAGCTCGCCACGTCGGCCACGGTCTGTGGCTCGTCCTTGAGCGCGGCCGGCGTCAGCATCTGCTGCGGCCGCGCCCGCGCCCAGCTGGTTCTGTTTGTGCAGATCCATCAGGGTTTTGGCCGAGCCCTCGGCGAACTCTTGCCCGTCGCTGGCCGCCACCCTGGAGTAGAGGACCTGCGTGCTCGTCGGCGTGCTGAGAGGACCACCCGCCACCCCGTTGGACTGGACGATGAGGCGCTCGAGCTCGGGGAAGGCGAATGTAAGCAGTCCCAGGTCCGGCGAGAGGAGCAGGCAGGCGGGGCGCCGCCGCTTTGCGGGCTCCGTCAGCCAGCAGGGGGCCGGAGGTGGAGCGGCCGCCGGCTTGAGCAACGCCGCCTCCTGCTCGCTCAGGCTCAGCAGCAGCGCGTCCGTCTTCATCGTGATACCGGCGCCGCAGTCGGGGGCGCCCCGGTGACAGGCGGCCCGGGGACGCTGAGCTGCCGCTGGCGCCGCTTCCCAGGCCGCTCAGCGTCTTAATAGCCATAGAAGGGAATTTCTGTTCTGGAGGCTGCTCCTGACCCCAAATTCCTGACATTAAGTTGTTGACTAATTTCCACTTGTTTTAGGAAATCGCTAATTTGGTGGATTAGGATTAGGGTTAGACATAGATGTAGAAATACATTATCTGTCTGTACGTCTGTACCACACAGTGCTTGAGTTTATGGCCTCTCATTCTGGTCAGTGTTAAGAACAATCAACATGAGATTAGTAAATCAATTAGAATGTTCAGCCTTTGGTCACACAGATGCAAGTCAGGAATATTTGTTTAAGAATCTCTGTTGACCATGGAGTGCATGGGGGAGGGGTGGGGTGTATAGTGGGTAGAATTATTTAAGCTCCTCAGCCATGGGAACCTACGACTTTCAGTTAGAATGGTCTGGGAAATAGTTTCTTACCTTGTGGGCCTTGGGATACAGAGAAAATTGTTCTCACAGTCTGAGACTTCTGTATGGAGCAGTAAATTGCGGCTGAGCTTTATTCTGAGGAACTGGGGTTCCAGGGGTCAAGGGAAAAAACTTCCCCTTGGTCCTCTGAAGGTTCGCTGAAATCATCTGGCAAAAAAAAGATAGATTAATAGGAGAGAGGGAATAACGCATTTTATTTTAACACGGGGTAAAAGTCACAGGAGAGTGATTACTAATCCAGTGGAGGTACAGAAGTCTTTATAGGGGAGGGGGAGAGATGGGGATGTGGGTAATTCTTTTGAGAGGCAACAAGTGATTATTAGGGAGAATGAATTGGGGGGGGGGCAGAAATCAACCTGTAAATGGTTTCCTTTGGATTGAATGAGCCTGAGAAACAGACGTTAACTTGTGAAAAGGTCTGACAAGGTGTGGCTACATTCCTCAGTAGCCTTTCCTGTGATTGGTAATGAATATCAGGGAGGTGATGGAAATCAATTGTTCTCTTTGGCCCACACTGTGCAGATAAGGGAAAAGCCTCTTCCAGCATCTACCTTAATTAAGGGCCTTTAATTAGAGATACTCAATATACCAGGATGTCATATTTTGACGTGTAAAGCTACATGACTACAACAGTTGTCGAGTAAGGCAACACTAAAGCCAAAATGTTTCATTATTTTAGTTACACTAAGTTTCCATTTGTATTGCAGAGCTAGGGCTGAGACCCTTAAACCCATTGTACAGACTGGGTCCCCAGACCCCTCACACACCGGGCTGTTTCCCCAGGCCCCTCACATGCCAGGCTGAGTTCCCAGCCCTTCACACACAGGTCCATGCTAGGTAATTGGGAAAGATCCCGGGAGCTGTTGGCAGATGACACTACTAGCTCAGTCCTCAGCAATGGCAGCAGCAGCTTACAGCTCCAGCAGCTTACAGGTCTGGCGGTGGTGGTGGACTCTTGGAGGGTCCTGGGGACACTGGCAGCAACAGCCTCCAGCAGCAGTAGCGGCTTCCCCATGGCCTACCTCCCAGGGGCATCCCGGGGGTGGGGGGCGCCATGGATCAGAGCCACTCATCCTTTATACTTAAGTCCATAACCCAGGACACTTGGGTGCACATGTGCAATTACATTAGACAACCAAGGACCACCTGGGCACACATGCATATTTACATCAAATGCTAGGCAACATCTGAGGGACCCTGGCCACTTTCCTATATTTTTCCCAATGATATGGATTCTCAACATCTGAGGGACCCTGGCCATTTTCCTCTATTTTTCCCAATGATATGAAATCTCCTGAATTCCCTCAGGGTTTTTCTCTGTAACAGATCAACATCAGACTAGCCTTAGTCACCAAATGAGAGCTTTCCAGAGTTTCACACTTAACCATTGAAGAGAGGGGACACCCCACCAGGTTCCAGTCTCACATGGAAGGTGGGGAGCTGCCTTTGTGCAGTGGGGACAGTGCCTGTGGTTCCTCAACACCTCCCTTATTAATGGCCCAAGAATGGGAGATGAGGGATGAGTTCCTCCATTTGGAGGGACCCCAAGGTTTGGTAAACATGGATAGAACCACCAGTCCCTGTTAATATGCCCCAGGTTCTGAGCCCAGCCCTCTGCCCCATTCAACCTCATACTCAGCTACTGTGCCATCTGGAGTGATGAGCTTATACTCTACTTGCCCCTCAGAGGCCAAGTCATGTCTTGTGTTGTAAGACCAGCCCAAAAGCACGAATCTTACTTGTTGGGAAGGCTCATCTTGCAAAGACCAGGAGGCAGAGATCGATGCAAAAGCAAGAGGTTTTTATTTTCGGCATGCTGGAGGTCGCCCCGTTTTCAGGACAGGAGCGGCCCCGAGCTCTTAACTCAAGCATCTTTTATACAGTTCGGTAGGCAGGCTTTTGTAACAGGCTGGGTTGTACGCCGTTTATTGGCCACTTTAAGCAATTTTTAAAATCATTGGGCTTTTAGCTTTTGGTGGGCAAAGGAAAGACTGAGGTATTGACCAATGTTCCACCCCCCCCCCCCCTTTCCTCCCTTGGTGTCCAAAGATAAGGTGTCATGCTGTTTCTGCAATCAGGTGAGCATACTCCCTTCCTGGGACAGAGTGAACTTTGGGCTCTTTGGAAAGCCCCTTCCCCCTGGCAGCGGAAAGTCCTAACCTTCTGGCGATGGAAGGTCTTAAGCACCTGGTAATGGAAGGTCCTAAGTATCTGGTATTGTTTACCAAAAAGGTTGGGGGTTATCTCTACTTCCACAGTGTCCTCCTGAGAGACCAGGTCACACACCTCATCTCTTTCACTGACAGGCTTATATATCTCAATCCTCTCCTCAATTATGACACTGCTGTCAAAGCTTCTGTCTGAGGTGGGCTTGGGCCATTGCCTGGCAGTCTTAGAGGCAGTAGTGGATTGAATTA